AACTAGCATCTTATAATAATAATAATACTAATAATAATAATAATAATAATAATAATAATAATAATAATAATAATAATAATAATAATAATAATAAGCTAGCGAATTGCTGAACATTTAGCTTTAGCTAACTTTAATGTTGCCTGTAAGAAGATACTAAGTGGATATTTTTACCTTCGAACCAGAGCCAGGCTAGCTGTTTCCCACTTTTTCTAAGCTTTTTCTAAGCTGAGCTAACCACCTGCTGGCGGTAGCTTTATATTTAGAATACAGGTGTGAAATTTAGGGAAATACACTTAATTACTTTCTTTCCAGCTGTTCCTTTAAGGATGCATGGTCTTTAGCCAGAGTTTGCTGACAAAAAACAAAAAAACACAAGTATGGTCCTTTAAGTGTCAGACATGAGCTTCTTATTTCCTACAAACCCCTGTGTGAATGAAGATGTTTGATGCCGTACACTGAACGCAAATAATGTACAGCCCCAGCCTCACTTGCTTTGAATAATAATAATAATACAGAGGACTTTCCTTTAAGTGCACTATTGTATAAAATGTCAGAAAATGTCCCCTCAGGGTGTTGTTTACTGTGATTGTGGGTCCTCTGCTACTGTACCTATCATCACTGTAAATAATCTCACTGGTGTGTTTACATAATCTGCCTGCGTTTCACTGGAGATGAGTAGTTCCCATCACTCCACATTAAAGTTATCTCGCACAGTTTAGCATCAACAGGGAGCGTCAGAAGCGGCCTGCTGAATTCAGCACGTGTCACGATTTACCACGATAGAGACGTTGCTTAATAGTCTCCCAAATTTTTGGTCGTTTTATGTTCATTTTGCTGGAGGAGGACGGTGGCTTGTCTGTTCCTGTATATTTTGCCCACATTTCTGCTGCCCTGATACCAATAAATGGAAAGATCATTGATTTAAAAGAAGAAAAAAAAAAAAGAACACACCAGAGCAAAAAAAGGTTAGAAAATGATATGTGAGGGATTATTTATGATTAACCTTTAGGTCTCCTCCTGCTTGCCGTAGCATTTATTTTTGTGCCAGAAGAAAGCTGTGTTTGAAAAGACTAATCGAAAGCACCTTTTGTAAAAAACAAAAAAACAAAACACACAATGCCAAATACTACTTTTTTTGTTGCTGTTTTAGGTTTAATATCCTCCACGCATCAGTGTTTGCTGGATGGAATCTCATTTTTGAATTTGTTTTAATTTTTTAATTTTTTTTCCCCCCATCTTGCCCTTCTCCCGACCCCTGGGTGGGACTCAGGAGTTTTAAGGCTGGTACTCTCAGATCAGTGAGCACTACTCTGTGGATACAGTGAATGTGTAGAAAGCCTTGTAGTATTGCATTGTATGTAATGTATATAATGAATAAAGATTGTATTTTGTTCAGGTTTTCTTAACTCCTGTCTCTGTGGTGTTTCTGCCCCCTGGTGGCCGTGTCCAGGCGTTACTGACAGCTGCAGAGAACAGGAAAACTGCAGAACCAAAGTGGAAAACCTTCCTTTATTTGCAAATCTGAACGAAAGAACAACAAGACCGCCGAGACGATCGACAATTTACAGCTTCCAGTGTGTCAGACCCCTGTTGTTTGCCTTCAGCAGCAAACAAACCATAAATACATAAAATACTGGTAACGTACTTTGGTGAAAATGGCAACAGCTATAATAAAAGTGAAATTGTAGACACACAAACACAATTTAAAAAAAAAAGTTGGATTGGAGTCCCCAAGGTGATGGATTAATTTGTGTATAAGTACATATATATTAACTTCTTAATTGGTTTAAAGGGAAGTAAATGGGAAAGTAAATTATTAAATTGAACAGAATCCAAAATAAAATAAAAAATGTGCTCAGGTTTGTGCTGGGAGGGGGTTTGTCACATGACTCCACCCCTACAGCATCAGCAACAGTGAGAAAAAAACAACTATTTACAGTGTTTGCTTCACAGGTGACATATCAGCTTTAAAAAGGCCAGTATTATTCTTATTACCAATATTTGACTGTGTATTTTTTTTAGTGTATTTTAAGGATAATTCTGCTTTATTACAACCTGGCTGTTATTTTAGTAGTTTTGCTATCAATCCTATGAGTAATAAATACATTGTACAGTCCCACAGGGCATTAATCATGAGCATTCAGACAGTTAGCGTTTTGGTAATTACACAATAATGATTATAACTGATGTAAATATTTAGGAAAAACTACAGAAATAAGACCTAAAATGTAATAAACCAGTATTTTCCATTGAGTTTCAAAATGAGGCATTTAAATAATGTAACTATTTTTTAATTAAAGTTAAAGCGCCTTGAAAACACGTGATCAATTGACTTTTCTTTTAAGCATTCTGAGCGATAGCCTCCATGTATGGGACAAAAATAAAGACGTACTTTTAAACAGTAAGAGCCTTTTCCCTTGATTGCTGCGCAATCTTGTGGAAACAAGAAAGTCAGGGTCACATCAAGAGACAAAAAGAGAACACAACACAAAATATACTTGAGATGTTTCCCCTCTGGCTTTCCGTACTTCCTTGAGATAATATGTTGCATTTGGGCTTAAAACCCTTCATTTGTCTTATCTCTGTGGACCCATCTGCCATAAGCAGCGTCTTTGTGGACATTCAGCTCCCTCACAGCCACACTCACTAGTGGAAAATCAGCAGGATGCTTTAAAGAATCCTGAGGTCATCTATCTAAGTTAGTAACTCTAGACCTGCCGAGGCAGCTGACGTTGCTGTCCACCTCTCTGACATTCCTCCGGAGCAAAGCCATCTGTTAACATCATCACCTTGCTCTTTCTCACTGGCAGAAAATTACATAAAAATACTCTATTTACAGGCGCTTGTGTACAACTCAGCTCTTTTTATGAGTACAGTAAAAAAAAAAAAAAAANNTCTTAGGGTTAGGGTAGAATTTTTAGAGTGAGAAAGTTTTAACTGTGCTCTGTAGGCAGTCACACATCAAATAATTATATATAAACTACTGTATAAACACAACAGTGAACTGATTTAGTGGATGTTTCCAAGGCCACTGTGTATTTCATTGGTACTTCATCCCCAAAGTTTTTATCCGCATGTCTTTTTCATACCAAAATACAGTAGAGATCAATCAAACAGACCGCAAACAACCAAATACGGGAGCTTGTTTGTTCTATAGGATGTATTTCTTTGTTTGAAGGTCTTCTCTGGCTACAGGGACAAGAATCCCAGGGTCAGGAGTGTAAGGTGAGTGGGCAAGGCTGGCATTGTGTGGAAGTGTGGAGTCTTTTGTTTGTTTTGGTGCAGCTGGACCTAGGCAGGTCCTGTCACCTTCTTCCTTCCTCGTCTCCTCTGTCCCCGGTCTCTACAGGTGAGTGTCCTCCTCGTCCGGTATGTCCTCCTTCAGCAGGTTGTCAATGGGGACGATCCAGCTGTCGTTAAACTCCCCGTTCAGCGCCATCTTCTTCTCCTGCATCTCCGGTTGCACCTCCATCACCTCCAGCGTGGGGTTGTCGTGGTAACCGTTCTCCACCGTGTGCAGCTCTTCCGTCAGGTGTTGCTGTAAGAATTAAAGGGAAAAACTCTAAAAACCAGTATATTCATATTTATTCCGTTTTGCCCTTTTTAAAAAGAGAAGTTTTGAATGTGGTTTTAAAAGTGAAAAATTAGATTTGTTGAAGTTTAAACGCCCCATGAAAAGATTTCTTTGTTCTATTTTGGGGCGTAATCCCTGTTAAAACAAGATATGAGGTGAGAGTCGGGCCATAATTCTGTAAACCAAGGTCATAAGAGGAAAGGAAGGCTGTCAGATCTGATAGAGGGGGCAGTTGAGTTATATGGTCTCTATGGTAAGAGCTCTTCAAACATCGACATGAATGAATGTAATAACTCACTCATGAAGTGCAGTGTTTGCAATGTTACAAGAACTTCTCTCTGAGGTCTGTTACGTAACACCGCAAACATTTACACTGACGTTTACGTCAGATCCTATTTTTCTCACTTCAACACAAAATGTCTACTCTTAATTCAATTAAACCTTTTAAATTCGGATTAGGTCATAGCTCCATTTGTGTTGTGTTCACATCCTTTCTACATGCCTTTCTTACCATGAGGTTGTGTGTAAAAGCTACATGTTATGAACTTCTTACTTAAAATACAAAACTTAGTGCATCTAAAATTAAGCACTGTTGCAGAATGTTATTACCAATGCCAAACCATACCAATAGTATGCTAGTCTCAAATCTCCTGATTTTGATTTGTTTTTGCAATCACAGAGGGCTGCAGAAACGAGTCCACCTACCTGGTTCTCATTGTACGGCTTGCGGTGGTGAGAGGCACATACCGCCAGGATGACGATCATGATCAGCAGAGCTCCGCAGGAGGCCAGGACTGCTATCAGCGTTTTGTTATCTGTCGGTTTCTTTAAGTAGAAAACACAACTTCACATTGTAGTGCCTGTTGATGTGGAATTTAAACCACTAGCGTTGCAAGTGTGAACACCATCCATATATTAACCCTTACCTTGGTGATGTCTTCATATACCTTGGTTGCCAGGTTGGTTTTCACTGTAATATAAATGTCAGTTTAGTATAGTTTATACAATATTCTGTTTAACTTTAAGCTGAGAAAGCTACTTTACCTTTGCCATTTATCGCCACATAGTCGAACTTTGTTTGACCGTTATGGGGATGCCATGTCAGGGTGCAGTTCCCTTCTTCCATATTCGCCATCAGCCGTCTGCACACCTCCACCATATCTTTTTCTTCTGGTTTTATCTATGTGGATAACAAAAAACAAATGCCACATCACGCATTTGACTTTTCTATAAATAATTCACAAGCCGACAAGACACTGACAAGCCTCCATTACACTGTCGGAGTTTGGACAGGAAGGTCAAAGGTGGCAGTTGAGGTCACATTTTCCTGTGCTGTGATGTGTGGATTATTTCTGGCACATTATGGAACAGCACAGCTGCAGAGTCAGTCAGAGAGAGGGTGAGTATATAAAAGAGGTGTGGGAACGTAGGAAACAAGTGAAAGGTAGGAACGGTTCCCACTAAGACACTTTTTCCACCCAATGACTATAATCCCTTGTTTTTATTGCGTGCTTCAGTGTTTCCTGTCCTGCTGCTGAAAACCCACCCAGAGCCTCCACCAGCTTTGATTCTATCACATTCTTAACAAAAAACTGTACTTTTACATCACTGACTAGTTTAAAGGTTATGTGAAGTGCTTTTATAATTTTATGAGCAATTAATCATCAACTAAATCTTAGAAGGTCAAAAAAATTTAATTTCTTACAACCTGGATTTTATCTTTGCAGGTTTTGTTCGTCATTCCTATCCGTTATATTGTCACATTTCACTCACCGACTTCATCCATGAAATCTACCATGCAGCAATTCTGCTACACACCACTTTGCAACAGGTGTATTAGAGCAACTTTTTCATGTCAAGGTCCCTTACAGTAGATGCACATTAGACCATGGACTCCCAGTTTGAGAGGATTTTATCTTAAGAAATCCACTATGTGTATAGTTTTTTAAATTTCTTTAATCATAGTTTTGATTTCCTAGTCAATCGATGAATCAATATCAGCAAGACAGCACTGATAAACCCGCTGTACATGTACATAGCAGCCAGATATTGTTGTAGTGAGAGTTGGATTTAAATGTTTCAGGTGGCCAGAAAGGCAATGTCTGATGGATGTGTGCACATAAGCTACTGTTTAACATGGTAATAATGTGTTAGTGTCGTTTTCACAGATTGTTCTGCTGCCCTTAAAAAAACTAATGTAGCTTTTCACAAATATATAGTTTTATTTTTTAAAGGATCTAGTGGAACGTATATAACGGTGTAGTTGCAGATTGTAACACACTCTCAAGGGCCATTTTTTTGTTGTCCACTCTGGGCTACTAAACATGGCAGTTAAACATGGCGCACCCTATGGAAGGCGACCCAGGCATCTGTAGATAAAAATGGCTCATTCTATGACAACAAAATGATTTCTGCCAATAGATCCTAAATGTTACACACTGGAACTTGAAAAAAGTGTAATCTAAAAAAATGGTGGACTAGTGAGCAGCAGGAAGGTGTACATGGGATTGAAGCAAAATTAAACGAATGAAGGAATATGTGACCCAGTACAACACTGTGGCTCACTGATGTGTTTTTAATAGTTTTTGAACAACAATGGAGCTCCATGGCACAGAGGAAGAAGATCAGGCTTTGATCCATACACAATACTTGTTAGCAGATACATTCATTGTTGCTTTGGGTTTGTAGCCTATGTGAGATTTGTTGCCAAGTAAAATGCAGAACACCATCAGCCTTTGTCTTTAAAGCTACATCTCTACATTTCTACCCTGTTTACTTCAATTAGTGCTAATCTACAATTTTACATTACAATCTTAACTGGTTACTTTGGATAGTAATTAGTTGCTTCATTACTAATAAAGCAACTTCATTATATATTTAAAAACATGCTAGTACTACTTTGTCTTTGTATTAAAGTTCCCCTCCAGTCAAAAAAGGTGTTTCTTCTTGGTCCCTACAGTGTGCTGTTTGAATGGCTGTATGTTTGCAGAGTTTGACACTAAGCAGAATGTTTTTCACATTCATCTGCTGAAAGTGCGAAAGTTTTTCTCTGTTTTCATTGAAAAAATCTGCATTTTAAAGGGCGGGGCGCTATACCGGCATTGATTTGTGACATTCACAGAAATATTTTTAGAAAGTTCAGTCCTGGTCCAGGTATTGCCAACTTGTACAGGTGTGATGCTAGAAACTTTGAAGGCACCAGTTGCCACATCCACTGAGAATGACTTTACAGTGAGGAGAACATTCTTGTGTCCAGCAGGAAAACAGATTCTGGACTTTAATAAGATAGAAGGAGGAGATTACCTTTTAAGGATTTTAAAGTGGAAGTTATACTTTTTGTGTGGCAAATACAGACACACATTATTGTTACAAGCAGACTTTGTAAATTGTCTTCATTCATGTCTGGAAAAGATCTTTAAGAAAGCCATGCTAGCAGCTCTGTGAGGTTGTACTTAGGCACTCAGGCAGCATTCGGTGCTTTGCACTATACAATATTAAAAAACAACATGTCTTATTGTTCTTATTCTCCCTGCAGGATGTTGCACAACTATCCAACATCTACAAACTGGAGAAACCTTTGGGAGGAGTGGGAAGGGTGTGGCCCTGCCTCCCATGGACAGGACAATAGCAGAGGCTTGATGAGAGTCAGAGCAGGAACTGTGTTTATTATCACATGTATTGTTTATGTGAATAAAAATAGTCTGATGCCTGTAACAGATTTAAAGATACAAAACTCAAAATAAGGCAAAATCTTACCTCTAGGTGGCTGTTCAGCGAATACTGCAAAAAAAAGTCAGAAAATTAGAATGTTAGTAAAAAAAATTGAGTCTTGTGTACGTTAATGTGAAGTAAAGACAATCCTACTCGCTCTATCTGCACCCCTTTGTTACATGTCTTACCAAAACTGTGTGCTGCGGAGCATCAGTGGTGGTTTTGGTGGAGGTATGGAGCTTTGGTTTGAGTGTGGAGGTGGTTTGCGGAGACCTGGTTTCAGCTTTGGTATCTGAGGCTTTGGTCTCTGTTGCTGTTGGTCCTGCCTTGGTGAGGGTAGAGGGGGTGCTGTGGGTCACCGTGTTTTCACCTGGCATCAGTTGTGTCACAGCGTTCGGCTTAGCACCTTCAACTAAAAATAATATGACGACAGTCAACATATCCCCAGATAGTGATATACACTCCTCTGAGCCAATCAGTGAACACTGTATCACTTTTTAAAGCTGTTTAGCACACTTCTGTCAGTTAAAACACTGAAAATGCTAGAATGCAAAACTAAAATTATTATCTCAAATTATCTTCTTTATCTTGATACAACCACCTGATTAAGTTACATAAGAAATACTTTAAGTGACTTTATGTATGTAGAAAATAAGATGATCTAGTGATAATCTAACTTTATTAGTAATAAATCTACTTTCAACAAATGCTCCTTTAATTAGCCTGAAATGTATTGAATAGAGCAGTACATGGGAGTATATAACTTTTCCATTTCTATTTCTATTTCTATTTCTATTAGTTGAATCCATAAGATGCTATTGGGTCACACTGCCATCATCAAATCACAAATGAGAGAATGTCTTTTAGAAGAAGACTGTTCATGCTTCGCATCCACTTTGGAGAATCTATGGCAAGGAGCATTGACATTTTTTTCATTATGGAGACTTTGTGGAGAACACCATACTTTACGTTGGTCATTTCTTTCATCCTGGCTCCTTGGTTCTGTGGACCCCTGGTTTAACAGCACGGTAACTTGTTTTCAGTTCTTACAGAGTTGCACAAATGCCAATAACAGTTGAGCAAGCTTGGTAGCCGGTGGAACCTCGGCCAACTTTCCTGTACTGAGATATGCTATGTTCTAGGCTAGTCTATGTGGAAAAGACAACCGATTTTGAAGACAGTTAAAAGACACACGTACAGTCACTCTTAAGTTAGCTAATGTTAGCAAAAATATGGTTGTCTTTTCAACATAGCCTAGCTTATAGCATATCTAAGTACAGGAAAGGAGAAGGTTGACTAAGGTTCTGACCGTTCTTTGCTCAACTGTTATTGAAGAGCACAGCAAAAGGGGCAGGACTTAGCAAGGGTCAATTGTGACTTAAAGTTAGCTTTAAGCTGAACTTACTGGTAATATAGATCAAATGGTGTATGCTTAATCCTGTACATTGTCCCTTAGAAATAAATTAAAAAAAGATAACTAGGAAAAGAAAAGAAAAGGTGAGACTTTCTTTTGTCCTTATGGAAAAACAAACTTCTATAAATATTAACAAGTGGGTGACAAGTCAGGCGTGGGTATGATGCAGCCACCTCTGAGACAATCAGTGACAATAAGTAATTAAAATTGGCCTGGTGTTGAGTCAGGCATGGTCTATAAATGTTTTACACTTTGACCTTTTATTTTGGCCAGTAGGTGCAGTCTTTCAAACGCTTAATTCCTTTAAGTTTATTCAAAATTGGACGTGGAAGTGGTGTTAACATATTTTAACATTGATTTATAAAAATAATTGTTCTCATTTGTAGACCATCTCATCATTATAGGTTATTCCGTGTTATAAGTTGAGCATTTATTTTTGTTTTGTTTTTTATAGGCTATATTTTTAAGTTTGAAATAAACCCTCAATCACTAAATTCCCCTAAGGTGTGTTATTTTAATGTTGCTATTTAGGGGATTCACAGGGGAACTTACCTCCAGTACTCATCTTAGAAGCAAAGATGGAATGAGCTGTAGACTGTTGCTGTGGTATATGGGAACTGGGTTGATTTGTCCCCACAATGGGTTGAGTTGTCCCCGCATTGTGTTGAATTGTCCCCACATTGTGTTGAATTGTCCCCACATTGTGTTGGGTTGTATTGGGTTGGGTTGTCCCCACATTGTGTTGGGTTGTATTGGGTTGGGTTGTCCCCACATTGGTTTGGGTTGTCCCCACATTGGTTTGGGTCATATCGGATCGGGTTGTCCCTACATTGGGTTGGGTTATATTGGTTTGGGTTGTCGCCACATTGGGTTGGGTTGTATTGGGTTGGGTTGTCACCACATTATGTTGGGTTGTCCCCACTTCTGGCCCAGAGCTATTATTGGTCTGTGTTGTGGTGGCACTGGGGGATGTCACTGAACTGAAGTCCATTGTTGGTCCAGAGGTACCAGCAGCAGGTGTGATACCTTTCACTCCAGCAGAGGAGAGAGATGTTGGTGGTTGATTAGTAGTCACTGCAATTGTGGTGACCTCAGTAGCTGATTTTGTATTTGCCTCTGTAGTTTGTTCCTTACTGGCATTTGTAGCTGTTCCAGGTGTACCACCAGTAGTTACATTTGTCTTGGACATTGATGGATCTCTTACAGTTGGTGCAGTTGTTACAATTGAATTCTTCCCCACACTATCATCTGCACAAACGCTATGAAATAGGAAGCCTAAGGAGGAAAGAAAACATGATTACAGCATGCTGCTAAATTGGAAGTATGAAAACAAACCAATCAGTAGCAAAGATTGAACTAAATCTGCATTAGAAGTGGGGTCAGTCAAGCTGGAAAAAGTTGATTGTTGAGTCTCATTCCCTCATAAAATACTAACTTTGGGTTATGGTAAATGGGAAACAAAACAACACGTGGTATTATGCTCCCAGGTTGTCAGATACCTGTTTGATGACCTGGGAATGTGACTCAACAAACAACTATTTTCCTCCAGAATGACTTCAATTTCAATTGATTGTTCTTGGCCACTTGGGGGCAGCACAGCAAGCTGAAAATACAACATTGACATTATCACCTTATGAAGTAGCTATGAATGTGTTAGCCAATAGTTGTCGATTTACACACCAAGCAGTCCTGGAGCATAAGCATTCATTTGGAGTTTCTAGCTTAAAGTTAAGTTTGACAGAGCACTGTGAGATCTAAGCTATGTCGACCTCTCCTCCCGCAGTTCCTGTGGGTCGGACAGCTAAAAGCTTCAGCCACAGTGCTCCATCTTCTTCTATTTTCTCTATTTATAGTGACCTGGACAGGATGCTGCACACAATAAACTTGGAAGCTCCACACCCATGACCACGGCCTGTTTGGAGTGCCCCATGAACAATCCTCGCCTGACTCCACGGCCAGAGAACAATGGCCTTAACCATAAACACACACCCCCGCACTTTCTGACCACCGCCCACCTACAGTACATCCAGACGCAGTCACTGGATTTTCAGCATACATGTGTGGTGACATAGCCACTCTTCATGTGCATGTGCACTATTTAATATTTCCTCAGAGGACCTTAATGATGTTTTAACACACTGAAGCTGGTTTATTGCAAATCACATATATGTTACCTCATTTTCTAAACCATACTGTATTCTTAACATGTAAGCAGCTAGTGATGGTGAAAATTAACATATAGAGACTTAAAACTCACATGAAATAAAGAATTCATCATCCTGTCTACTAATTTCATTGAAATCTGTATGGCTGTACCACACTTATAGAGTAACTTTGAAAAAAGACATAATGTTCAATGTAATATATCGGGTACTTCAAGCTAATTTTAAGCCTCAGCATGTAGATTTTCTTAATAAAGTATGCAGTATGTGGTCGCTGGGAGTTGTTGTATGTTCATTTAGTGTAACCACTAAGCACAAACAACAATGCATGTACATTCCCTGTCAGCTGCTGGATTAATACATATTTGGTGCTTTAGTGAGTATTTGTGGCAGCAGGACAGTGTATGTGAGGTTGATTCAAAATAAAATACAGCATGTGTGTTTATGGTAATGAAGGAACATGTCAGCCAGTGTGACAGTATGGCCCATAGATGTGTTTTTAAAAGTTTTTGGATAATGGAGCTCTATGGCACTGAGGAAAAAGATATATGCATTTTGGTCTTTTCATGGTAATTTGTTGATATTAATATGAATTCTAATCAGATTTTCAATGAGCACATGAATGTGAAAACATCCTTCTAGAGTCAAATCCTGTACATACATCATTCAAACAGCACACAGTAGGGATGAGAAGAAACACTGACTTCTGACTGGAGGGGAATTTAAGCCACTTAAAGTTCATACACTCAGTACGGTTGAATCAAATGTTCAGCATGTGAGGCTTTGTTGTCGGACAACATAAACCAACAAATATTCTTACTTTTACTTAGAGTATTCTCAGAGTTACTCAAGCCATAATTCCCATGGCATATGAATGCAGAATTGGGACAGTGTGAGGAGTAGATAACAGTCTGTTCTGGTCAAGTGGAGACTGGTAGAGCCGAGCCTGTCCTGTCTCTGTAAGGCACAGACAGATCACTTATCAGCCTTCAGCCTGCTGCCATAAACACTGTTACTAAGAGAGCAACTGTCAAAGTTCTCCACTCAGTGGAGTCCTTTGATGACCTGAGTGTTCTATCTACAGTACATGTGCTGCTCACTGTTCGGAGGCTTTTTTCTTTTTTTACAGCATATAACATCTGTTCCATGAGGGCTTTTCCCTCAGTTTGCCAGAGTAACATGGCAACCTTCATAGAGACCCTGAACCTGTTCGACCTGTCAGAGTATTTTCAGTCAAGAAACATAAACAGGAGTTGGGTGCTACAGCGGCATTGAATTTGGGGCTGCTATCAGTATCTGAAATGGACACATAAAGGCAGACATCAGAAAAAGCAGTTTTTTAAATTATGGTTTAATGTGATACGGGTGGTTTTCCCCTCATCTATAGAAGTGGTCAAATGTCCAACATTACATCATTTGAAAGGAATTTAGCTGAAAGTGTTGGAGTACAGTGTATTTTTTCACACTGCAAAAAATGAATCTCAAGAAATTAAAAAAAGCCTTGCTTCTGGGAAATGTCTTGGGAATTTTTTTTTGTCTAAAAAGAACAGTAATCATCGTCAAGCATGTTTTGCATTAGAATCCTGTGTTAAGTGAATATCTCTATATATATGAATATGTCTTAATAAGATATAACAGCTAATGTTGAGCTAGATTTAACCAGTAACAGGTTCCAAAACTAGTAAGCATAATATCCCAGCAGAGGAACATGATTAAACCAGCTACACAACTTCTCGCTTTAGTGTTGTAAATGAAGCAGATGTTTAAAATGTTATTCATTTAAGACAAAGTCTTAAAATAAAGTTTTATCATGCTATTTGTACACATTGTGTTTTATTGTAAGATTATTTGCTAATTAATAATCTTAGATTAAATTCAGCTCAATAAAGTGACCAAAATACTTATTTTGAGAAAGTCTATCTTAAATAACTGAGTTTTCAGCTTGTAATAAGCACAGCTTGCTTAAATATTTGGCATTTTTTTTCTTGTTTTAAGGCCCATTACAGTCTTTCAGTGCTAGTTTTAATAATTCTAGTCAAGCAAAATGGGTTTACCCCACTGGCAGATTTTTCTGCTCAATCCAAGAAAATAAGAACGGCTGTTTTTGCAGTGCAAAGATGCATGGCTGCTGACTGACACGTCAGTTGTTGCACTGTTCACATCTTTCCGGCTAACCACACTTAACTGTTCAGCTTTTTGCCTTTTTTGTTTTTGCAAGATGTCCTAAAAATCAATTAGTCACTTTCTCCTTTCACCCTCTCTCTCTCTCTC